CTGGGTCTGATTGAGGGCCTTGTTGGCCAGTAATAAAACCACGGAACTTTATTGATCGCATGAAGAGGGTGCATTTTTCTCGGCACACTCTGAAGCCCTGTTTTTTTCTATGAAAGCAACCAATCCCAATAAAATTTTTTTTTTCTATGAAAGCAACCAATCACCAATAAAATTCAGTTTAACCCCAGAAGCGTCACAGGTCCAGTAATCGGTCGATTTCAAATGCGGTTTACCGATTCGTTTCCACATTCGTCCACTGAACAGCGTGATGTCGGAGCCCGTATCAAACTCTAAACGAAATGGCACTTTGTTGCTAAGAACCGTCACAAACTTCCTTCGGCAAGTAAAGTCAAATTTGAATGTCGCCATTACCGATTTTGACCGAGATTCATTAGCTGCATGGTGGTTTTAGAGTGGCTGTGGCCCCTGAGTACAACATAAGCCCTCTTTGTGGTCACGACGACTACACCTGACACAGGTCAGCTAAACAGGCAATAGCCAGAATAAAGTCACTCACCGCAATGCCAACAACTTGCGGGAGGACTGCTCTGCTTTTGAACGAGCCTGTTGTCAGATTTCTTAGACGCGCGATGTGATTGCGGGTACACAGCTGCCTGAATTCACAGGTTACCAGCCGGCCATAGCCGTGTAGTTCTTCAGGTTGGTTATGGGTTGACATTCGGTGGTAAGTCTCCGCAACGTCACTTCGGCATCCCTGTTCAATATCCTATTAAGCATTCGGGTTCTGATGTCAGCATTATGGGACGAACAGAGACCGGATGCAAAAATGAGGCACCTAAACTGATTCTCCATCATTTAGCTGGGCATGAAGTGCTCACATAACCGATTGACAGTACCAGAAAATGTGATGAAATCATTAACTTTTTTGGCCAAATTTTGGGGGTTGATGACGGATACTGAACAGGAACGTTTGATCGCCAAATATCTGGGACAGTATACTGACCTTTTTATCAAAGCTGAGGTCGCGAGGAAGCGTAAGGAGAATGATAGCTGTGTGTCGTTCACGCTCCGGTATTCCAAGTTTTCGCAGCAATAATCTGGCTTTCCATCCGTCATAAAACTTGGAAAAATCAGTTCTTGAAGAACTCTTCGTACCGATTGAACCGGGAGTCAAAAATGTGACCAGTGAGAGGGTCGAATAGGAACCCCGTTATTGAGGCAGCGACCGCATCTGTTGAGGAAACAAGACTCAGCTTAGTTCTCGGTCTGAGCCTCCCAAGCTAGCGTTCACGTGGAAACAACAAACGAAAGTGTACAATATATAATAACGCCCAAAATAAAGTTAAAAACACCTGTACAACGCTTCATATATATAGTGTAAGCGGCGACCATTTTCCGGAAATTCTGACCCCATTGGCAACCGGCATTCGGCCACTACTGGGACACCCTAATCCGTTCACACTTATCGCAGAGGACAGTACGACTTTCTCCCCAGACTGCCTCGTAGCACGATTACTCTTAGTACGGAGTCTTGCTGCTCTTGGGCGTACTGCTCTGGCCCTTCTGGCATGGCTGCACTTTGTGGAGCGAAGTCCCAGCCAATGTACCCTGCGGTACTCAAGCCCGATTACCACATCAGGGTGGCAGCTTTAGGTCGGTACTCTATGGGCGCGATTCAAGCATGTACCCAGTCATTTAAGGTTTGATCACCATTTTGTCGCTAACGAGCGTGTCGTAATCGACATACGGCTATCGTCGTCTCAATACATATCCTCTTATCCAAGGATCCCCCTACATAACTCGGTACCTTAATATTTTTTTAGTTCTGCCATAACGCTCTTTCGGTGCCTCGCTTCCATGCCATCCGAAAGAAGCACCGAAACTGAGGTCATGCGAGGTTGTCCAAGTATATACAGGCGCAGTCGAGATGTGAAGTGAGGAACTTTCGATCGGTAGCTTCGTGTCTTAAACATTTAATATTTTTTGAAGCAGCGCGACTGGCTGCTTGGAAAGGCAGTCCTGTCAACCCATGTTTAACTGCCTTTGCGTCTTGGTAACCACGTCATGAGGTGGAGGGAGCTGGCTTTGCGTCACACTGCCGTAGAATACCATGATTTTTCTTGGTGTCGATCCCGGCTGAATGACTAATTTTAGCGAGCGAAGTTTAGTTTCCCACTAAGCTAGTACCATGTACTTATTATCTACTCTGAAGGGACCGCAGCTGGATTTCTAGTCATTGGTCACTACGGGAGAGAGTCTAACTTCTGGACTTGTTGCCGCCGGCTATTGCTGGCATCAAAGTCCGTTTGAAAAATTCGTGAATCGCCTGCAACGGCAATTCCGGTGTGGGACTCACGCATATCTATTCACGAAATAACAGCTGGAAAGTGTTGGGACCTTTTTTCTGACCTGTTCATTAGTTTCCTTATACAGCCTAATATTAGTTCGACTACCGCGTGACGTCTTTTTTAGCTGGGCTGAATTGTCTGCATTTTGCCTTCGAGAGAAAAGGATAACTTTCCCGTGGATGAAGGCCTATTTTCAAGTTAGGATGCTAGAACTCGGCTGCGACATCCCTCCGGTGCATAGTTGCCATGCCACCTGAACGAACCACGAAAGCTAAGATACCGCGAAATTGTCCAAGCCTAGACAGGAGCGTTCAAGGTGAGCTATCTCGAGACCAATAAGATTAAGATGGTAAAAACGGCAGACTGGATCTGAGCAGTTGGTCGAATGTGCTGCACAGTGGTCGTCTTGTGTTTCTGTTAGAACCATATTCGCGATATTTAAGTGTCTTATTGATACACTACCTATTAGCGAGAAAAACCTTTTACTTAGGAATTGATCACCTTAGGACCTATGCCACCACAGTCTAATTAACAGCAGAACAACTGAGCCGCTCTCGAATGATTCAACACATCAATACTCCGAGTCATTTTTAGCGGTGACCAGGGCAGTTTCAGCAACCGTCGTTGGGTTCGTGCTCGAAGGTACATCTTATGATACGCCGTCTCACGTTAGACGTGCTACTACTTCGCACAATAATTCTTGGTGTGGGTCAGTTCTAGAAACACTCACTAGATGTATCCAGTAAGACTAGATCTGTCGTTAGAACATCCTGCTTCGTTGTGTTTATACAGAAAATAGTCATGATAAACAGTTTTCGTGTTTTCCGACCTCTGAAACAAAGGTGGACCTTTTGTTGAGACTAATTGGACGCATTCTCTGGCCCCTTTTGGTGGCGCCCGTACTTACTTCAGCACTCCAAGGGTGGAATGCCTTAAAACGAGGAAAAAAGGAGGGGTCGCCTCAAATGAATTACCATATATATGTATATGTATTCCATACCAGGACTTTCCTGTCCTCATTTTTCCCTTTCAGTCAGTCTATGATGAAAAAACCTCTTTTGCCTTTTGAAGTTCTAAGTTACAGGTAGGTCATTGTTCAATGTTCTCTCATCCTACTAGATGCGTCACTGGAATCGTGTTCTTTATCCTTGCCGTCATTTGTCTATTCCACCGATCCTCGAGAGTATTGGTTATGTATCCAAAAATGCCATCAGGTGAAGGCTGTGACGATGCCCCTGTGAATGGTCGGCGTTCACGCCTTTGTTGTCCAAACACACATTCTTCTAAGCTACTTCATCCCATCCGTGATTTGGCGCCAACATATGTTCAGCTGATTCATGAGTTTCCATCTGTATGTCGAGGTTCCTGGGAGCCCACTAGTTGCCAAGCCAATCAAAAAGTTGCAATCCTCATTCCTTTTCGAAGTCGTGAATTACAGCTGCGTCTACTCCTTGGTCGGTTACATCTCATCCTTCAGCAGCAAAATGTTGCCTACAGTATTTTTGTAATCGATCAGGTAAGTAGGTGTTCTTAGTCATCTAACGTCACCTCTGTGTACGGTCGTCCCCAAATTCAAATTATTCTTGACCTATGGTTACTGTTCATCAAAATGAGTGCGCGTTCGAATATCGAACGACGACTCCTCGATCCACCATATGCAATGACGGGACATATGGCCTCAAATTGAGGAGCGCAGAGCTCCGCTTTTCGGTAGCTATCGTGGTGTAGGCTCGGTTGTACGTAAAAAGTAGTGGAATATTTAATAGACATACGTTGTTTCTTTTCAGGAAACAAGTTGCTAGAATTTTCGTACATCCAGTTACCACCGCGAATTTCAACTAAGCAGAGGAAAGCGAAACCCCTGTAGATTGGCCATAGTGAATACGGCCACAGTAGTGTCGTTGAGCAGCGAATATATCGGGATAAGTAAATAAGTTTGCTTCGCGGATGAATTCTCTCCTAATCAGCCTTCTAGGGGCGAGATGACTCGGTGGTTAGAGGGCCAATTTACTGACTGGAAGGTTCGTGGTTCGAACCTGACCTCTGCCTCTTGGCTTCCTTTGTCTAGGCTTGGACGACGTGGCAGTATTCCAGCCCTCGTGCTTCCTTTGGGTGGCATGGTAGCTGGGCACCGAAAGGATGTTACGGCTGAACGATTCTAGGTACAAAGGCATTCGATATATAGGATAAGAAACATTTGAACAACTGTTGGTAATTTCGGGATATTTGGGAATTTTTGTGGACATTTCGTCCTGTAAGTGAAGCCGAACTATACTGAAAAGCCGAGAAGGACTGTGCAGCGGTTTCATCCTTTCTCAGTAAGAATGGAATAGCTGTACAGTGCTTCTCGGCCTCTCAGCATAGATTGGTTTCACTTACAGGATGAAATCACGAAAATTACTGAAACTCCCCATACTACCAACAATGTATAAGTAGACCATCGGAAAAATAGGCTTCATCCGATAAGTGAAACTTCCATCTGAGAAGTCGTTGCTCGAGGAGCTAGTCAGCACGTGTGACCGCGTGACTGAAGGGTGAGCGGCGCTATATCCTGTCTAAGTACAAGCTAATCACACTGCTGATCAGCCGCTCGTGGCCGAATGGTTGTGTTCAAACTACTAGCCAGGAGGTACCGGGTTCGAGACTCTCCGGAGTTTCTCGAGACGCGCACTGCTGATGATTCCCAATAAGGACGAAACGGCTATACACTGCTTTTCAGCATAGATTGGCTTCACTTACAGGATGAAATCTCCGCAAAAATTTGAGAAAATATCCAACCTCTGGTTCGTTTCTTGCAGTAGTTGACCTTTTCTGGACACTTTTAACGTCTCGGAACACAATCTAGTGAAACTATTGAGAGCTTTCGAAGTTGAGGTACGCAACACTTCGGCATTCAGTGTTGCCACCAGTTCGTCTTCACCAGCATTCTGTCGGTCATCTTCGCCGTCTTTCGAGTTACACGAGATTTAGATGGCAACCTAGCACAACTTGTAACGTTGGACTAAAAGCCTACCCATCAGTGCGTATTGTTTAAGCGTTAAGCTGACCAAATTGGCTCTAAATATATAGCCTGGAAGTTAAAGCTTATCTCTTCAGCGGGACGACCCAGTCTAGCCAGTTTACTGAAGTCACAGGGAAATTTCTGTAGATTATCTCACTAGGGCGATTTTTCTAAACATCCTGGGTCCATACAGTGGTGCCAAATAGCTGGAACTAATGAAGAAGGTACGTAATAACAACTCACTCATCTGTTTGAAGACTGTACTGAAGCCACCTTCCAGTAAATAAGGAGCGTGTGACAATTTGTCCCACCGTTCAGTTTTGTGAGCGTTCCCTTCATCTACTGGCTTCAGACATAAATTGCGTTTTGAGGTAAAAACATCAGCTGAATGGGAGAGTGTGCAGTACACTTGTTCGGTGTCATTAGCACTCAAATCTTCTGTCGCGTCATTTTTTTGTTGAATTGACAAAGTCATTTCGAATAAATGTCATCATCCGTGGTTTCTCAGTGGCTTCATTATGCACACGCAGTTCAACCGGATTTACATTATTCGAACACATTGATCTACTGTATTTAGTTGCACTCAAGAGTGATAACTACCCCCTGTCGGCACTTGAACACAGCATCTAATTGACTTGCTCCTTCGATCGTTTCGTTCCACTGCAGACTTCGCCTTTCTGAACGGGACTTCTTGTAGTGTGTAGACGGAAAAATAAGCTAGTTTCATACAAATTAAAAATGTCCCTTGGTTCATACACTTCGCAACCGGTTGAAATGTGATCAAATCAGCCATAAAATGTCAGTAGAGGCGTTTGAGGATATGCCGTTGATGGAATTTTCACAGCCACCTATTACTGATTTAAAAATAGTGCTTGTCAACTTCATCAACAAATCCTCTCACCTTCTCTCTCAGGCCACCCGTCTTTGGTAAGTTTTGCCCTAGCTTTTTTGACTGTCCTGATTGTAGTCAAGTGAATCTTAATGAATAGCGAACAAAAATTCTTAATACTATAATATTACGACTGTTCAGCTGTGACACCTTTTCGGTGCCTAGCTGCCATGCCATTCAAAGGAAGCATGAGGGCTGAGATACTACCAAGTTGCGCAAGTCTGGACAGGACAGCCGAGATGCTGAAGTTGAATTTGAACCGCGAACCTTTTTGTTCGTAAGTTTTCGCCTTAACCGCCGAGCTATCCCCAGCTCAGAAAATTTTTTACAGACATTGAAGTCGCATTGGCCGGCAATAAATGTAAACTAGAACAGACCGATTGTGTAATGGTATACACTGACTGCTTGGTGATTACACAACTTACTGCAAACAGCGGACTCCGGATAACCTTCCTTAGTTATTGATTTATTACGTTTTGTGTTGTAAACTGCCTGGGGTTCACACACAGAAAACTACTTGTTTACGACCTCATCAGTGAAGTGACGTCTTCGAGTGTACTCGAGCATTCAAGTCTCCAAGACTTTATGGCCGCTGGTAGCTTCTTTGTTCAAAATCTTTTGATTGTGGAGTTTTGGGTTGATTGTGATGCGAAATGAGTCTTCCCAACACCTAGCTGGAGTGCTGTGGCATTCAACCTTTCTTTTTTCTGTTTTGTTCGGTCATCATCATTTCCTCCAGCGACCGAAACCTCTGTGGAGCGTACTCACATTGATAGTTTGGTGGTGCCAGAATAAGTCTAATTTTGTCCAAATGACGCATGAGCTTTATATTTGGGCTGTTTACCATTAGTAGTTTGGATACGTAAGTCAGTCATCACGTTTTGGTTGTGATAGTCGATGAATTGGCACGTCGACGCTTCACTTTTGTGTTAGCATCGTTTGAACCAGTGACATGGCATGATGTCACAGAAAGTCAGTCGTTTTGGTTTGCCTTCATAACCACGCCGCAACGAATATTTGTAACCTCTCCTGGGCGAGGTAGCTCAGTGGTTAGAGCGCGAATTTACTGAGCAGAATATCCGTGGTTTGAAACTGACCTCTACCTCGACTTCCCCGGTCTAGGACGACCTGGTAGTATCCCAGCCCTCGTGCTTCCTTCTGGTTCCATGTCAGTTAGGCACCGAAAGTGTGCTACAGCTGAATGATTTTTACATCATCACGAGTCGCTGATTGTGTTGGCCACCTGAGGTTAGCTTAACTTTCTTCTGCTTACTGAACCCGTCAGAGACAATCAGTGACGTAGTGTAACACAACTGCCAGATGTTTATTATACCTAGTCAAACACTCATCTGAGGGAGCATCATTAGTGGCTTTCAAAGATTTCAAAATCGTTAACTTATTACCCGGAACCTATTGAGGTTGACAGGTAGCCACGGTATTTCCCTTAAGATTCAAGCATATAGGTGCTGTCAGTTTAGAGCAGTGCTTATGAAATCAGTCTTCTTCATAGGCAATTGATAACCGACCGCCTAGTCCCACATCATTAGCTCCGAAGGGGTATTCTCACCTGGAGGGACGTGCATAAGTTTTCTACAGTAAGCAGTTTGGGAATCGGAAAATTCGTTCGCTCCTTGGATGTGTTGTGTGTTTCAGAGTCAAACATGTAAAATATAGGACAGAGAACTTGGAAACAGATCACAACCACTCGAAAAGTTGCAACCGTCAAAGGTAACATGGGAGAGAGTCAACTGGCGGTCTGAATAAGGCCATTGTAAGGCAACAGCCAGTCGTACTAAGTCTACACCAGGCAGCTCACGCATATTCAACGAGATTCTCACGGTGGTTGCAGACTGAGTAACTTACAATAAACACTAATTATGGCGTCGGTGGATAATGTTCAGGAATTTTTCAGGTTGAGCATAGAAACCAGACATGCAGGTGCCGTGTAATTGAGATTCAGCTCTGTTCAGAAATTCTAAAAGATACCCTTTTTATAGTCCGTCCCCGCGAGTACATTGATGGAGGTTATTACATTGTGAGGCATTGTGATGGTCAATTTAGTTGGATTTCAAATATAACAAGAGGTGTCTGGTTTGTTGCAGAATGAAAACTAGTGCTGACTACTAGGTGCCCTCGACAGTCTACCTCAAACAAGTCCAAAAATTTGTAATTCCCTTTACCTGTAAACGGCACGATTGGTAGTTTCAATTACTCCAACATTTGGAAGTAAGTCAGTGTTGACTTGTTGATTTTCTAAGATGAGAAGATACACTAAACCCTACTGAAACTGTTTTCTTCCATAGAACTGTCTTGTTTGCACTTCCTTTTCTGGTTTATTGAAGTTGGAATTCTTGGAAACGGTCGTGAAAGGACATCCTTACAGTAGTGTGTTGGCTTGTATCATCGCGACCCATTGAGCTATATCGGGTGGTGTCCCTACGACACTCACGATCTCATCCCTGATTGGTCCATGGTTGAAGGTCTGACGAACACATTATCCTGGTCCCTCAGGTTGGGGGTTAGAATGTGTGGCGACTTGTTCAATAAAAATTGAAATGCACTTGCATTTCCCGCCGAACACCACTGCTTTGTAATTAGCCTTTTGAGCCAAAGGCTTTGTTTGAGGACCCCGCCAAGGTCAGCCGTCCCGGCAGTATCTCAGCCATGATACCTGCAGCCAACGGTAATCTCATGCCACATCGGCCGTCGCGGGGTGTCACCAGCGGGGTTGCCTAACTTGTTGCATACAGCGGGCCAAATAAGCGGCAACATGCTACCACTGGCGCCTCCCTTCTTACGCTTCCACGTATTTTCCTCTTCGGGCCAGTCCCACATTAATTCGTATGTACTGTCCTCAGGTCCCAACACTAGGGATAACCGATTTAAACGCCGTCTATCGCGGCCGGTGACCGCTTCTGTAAGTGCGACTTCAGTACCAACCCTAAACACCTCGAAGTCTGTTTTCAACCCTCCAAAGTCAGCCTATGTATCTGCCTTTAATGTTCGCAGGCTTAAGCAAGCAGGACAATACGTGGTCCTTGCTCGTACGCTTGGTTCTCTCCGCATTGATGTGTACTGTTTGTCAAAAGCAAAGATCCTGGAAGCAAAAACTAAATGGACTGAGTGTTCCCTCGCTTTTCTCCAGTTTCCGGCTGCGCGCCTAGGATGATACAGAGGCCGCTTGCTGCTAGTGTCGAGTAGTTCCAGATCGAAATTAGAAGAAATACAGAATAGAAGCGCGTAATGTACTCTTTAATCGTCTAATAGCGGTAGTACATGAGCTGAAAATATGGAGCGGAAATTGCGAGTTGATAGTGTATGCAAAGGTATGGTTATTTAGTCATGACACCGCTACAGCTGGATATTGAATGGATATTGTAACGATCGAGCGAGCGAAAACGTACCTGCTTGACTTGATACCCGTGGATAGTCGCCTCTGTGTGATTCATTTGTTGATATCTGTCAAAGACCACATCTTCACGCTCCGTCAAGTGTCAGTAACCCCATGTGTACAGAAGACCCACAATCTAGTGTTGCTTGACTTCAAGGTTGCGCTCGATTATGTCGATTAGTAAGTACTCTTAATCACACTTAATCAACAGTGGATCACCGAGAAGTTTGCGAACATGATCCGATCCCCATATTCATGTATGAGTGTATTGTGAGCTTTTTAAAAGCTTCCCTCCAAAAAGTGGTGTCCGACAAAGATGTCCTTTCTCTCCATTCTTATCTTCATTGATGAAATAATGAACGCTGGAAGGCCGGTCTACGAACCTCAAGTGCTCGAATCATGTTTGTTAATTTGCGTCACCCATGGCATCAAAAAAGGCATATCGGTGGGTTTCGATAATCGTCACAGTAGGAGCTGTGTTATATGGTTGCGAAACGTGGCTTCTGTGGACAGATGATATGAGGCCTCTTCGGGTTTTGATCGCGGATGTCCCAGAAGCGTTGGTGATGTCGGGTTCCTGAAGGGATTGAGCAGCCGGTACTTCAATCTCGCAGAACATCCAGCATCGTCACTTACGGTCGCTCAGCCCCATGCTATGCATATCGAAACACTGGTATTTTCCGTGTCTTCTTCAGAGTGGTGCAAAGCGCGATGTGGGCACCGCTTGCCTTGGCAGAAGGATGTGGAAGATATTACGACGAGTTTGGGTGTTGTTAGTGAGGCACGCCTTCCAAGACGAGGCCTTCGTAACCCCACGCGCCCTTGGATGGAGACAGCAAGAAATGACGGCTGATCGATATTACGGGCGTTCGTGCTGTCGATTTCTTTCCAGAAGTCTGATTCACGCCTTTTGAGGTGTTGGTACCTCAGTGCTTGTGACAGACCAGCACAAGGTCTCCTCCCTCATCCATTCTTTTTATCTTCTTGTCACTCTAAAGCCTTAAGCGTAATTGGATAAGTCCTGTGGCTTCACGGCAATGAAGCGTCAGTGTAAAAACTATTTTTTTCGTCTCAGATGATGTTCCTTTGAAACTAATGAATATATACGCCCGTCGCTGACTGCAGGTTTCCAGAGATCCATTTCGAGATAAGAGGCACTGAATAGGAATTTATTCTAGAATTGTTGACTAATTGTGCTTAGTTTGAACAAACCTTGTGGAAATTCTGACAATATACACTGTTGTATGTTGGATGCATTCAGAAAGCCTCAGAAAGTTAGTTATTTGGCGTTGCCGGAAGACTAATAACTGTGGTCCCCATACATACTTGGAACTTCCACTCGTTACCACGGGGTGACAAAGTCCGGAGGTGTTTGAACAACGTAGTAATTTTGTCTCTCAAATCCCCATGGGCTATCCTCAATTTCTCCCCGTGAATGTGTTAAACTGGCCAATCCGTAGCCTAACTGAGACCCTCAACGAGCGTATAGGGCTGCAAGCCTAACTGTCTCAAAACGGTATTTCTGGATTTTTTAAAAACAGCAAGGAGGAAGTATCATTCAAAATGGTATCCACACAGCCAGCGCAGATCCTGTTATCATTAACTCTTTTAAATGCCGATCATCAAGTAACCGACTGCGATAAGTCTGCATAACGCTGTGTGATTCTGCGTAATTCCATGAAGCAATGTGCATCCATAAACTCCATCATCTTCCGTTATCATACGTGTCCAGGCTGCTTAAAAAGTTTGAGAATAAATTTTGTTGTTGCAATCACGCTCAGACTGACGACCTCGCGAATCTCCCGTTTTTTTGCTACACTAATGATGATCCGGTTTCGCAATTTACCAGCACTGGATGAGTCAAAGTCGACCCAATGAAAATCAGCGCTACCGACTTACTGTTGTGAAAAGTCATAGTCTATAAAAACGAGATCCAGGAATCCCGCGTTGCTGAGCACAAAGCACTTTATCACAGTAGATCATGTGGTTGACCCCAAAGCAGTTTTCAAAAGGGCGAGGTCACTAAGGGGCCTCTCTTACTGTCGCTTGTTTTGAAAAACGAGGAATAACGTTATAACAAGTGTGAACTGTACAACAAACGTAGGATTGGGTAGATAAAATCCGCGCGTCAATGTTGTGAGGCATGGATGTGCACGCAAATCGATCGATCAGTCACCATGCTTGCTCCGCAGTGATTATTCCCTTATGTCATCCATAGATCGGTAGTTTACTGAGAAGGCCATGCCACACAGAAGCTTTTGAGCTATCATGTGATATTACTTCTGTCTCTCCAAGTGCGTCCATTTCAGAAAGCCACGATTTGTGAATGTTTTAGCAGCATGATCTCAACCTGATAAAGCCTGGACAAAGTTTTATGGACGGTAGATTCAGCCACACGCGTCTAACTGGACGTTCCATGAGGATCCTCACATGCTTCAGCTGAATGGCTGGTGCTGAATGGCACTGCGCGGTTGAAACATTTGAAAAAGTTATTATTGAGTCAGACTAAGAGATGTTTCACTCCCACACTGAAGCTCTGATTCAAACGCTATCTTGCGGTGTCCTTGCAGGCAGTAGTCCTCATGTGGACATTTTCTGTCGATGAATTTTTTTAACTAATAAAGATAGTCTTCCAATGGGGATGTTTTTTTGACGTTGGAGCACATCGTCCGGTTTAATGCTCCCGTGTATTAGTTAACTTAACTGTATTGTTGTTTGCTGTACTGACGGATCAAACTGGTTGACCCATCTAGAGGAAGCACCTCCGTATCAGACGACTTAGGCCGCCCCCGGTTAGTTTTTTTGTAGAATTTTCATTGCCGATGTGGCGGTTTATCTGCTCGAAACTGCAATATTTCGTCACGGAGGGGTGACTTGTAACGTAAACACGTAAGCTATTTGACGTTTGTTCTCATCGTTTTAACAGAGTGGTGCTGATCCATTCAATCGAGGACTTTTGCTGAACATCGGTGTTCGGGAGTCTCTACGACGTGACCCAAACATTACTTGCTTCGTTTTCCATGATGTCGACTTGTTGCCTGAAAACAGTCAGAATCTTTACTATTGTGATTCCAGTCTCCGCCACCTTGCATCCGGAGTCGACGAATTTCGCTACCATGTGCCGTTCTCTAACTACGCTGGAGGAGTAACTTCGCTTTCGAAAGATAATGTTATTAAGGTAATCTTTATTCCCATGAGTTTGTTGATTTTTCAATGCATAGTTTTCTGGGAAGCATAGTCTTGTTGTGAGGCACCCCTCTCCCGTAAATAGGAGGCCCAGCTACCAAGAATGCAAAAATATGGTCAAAATGGTCTCCGCAATACCCTCTTGTAAGAAGGCTGGACTTTCGTGTCTGGTGGGGAGTTCCGGAGGCTAGTCGTTCTGAAGAAGGACTCATAAGTTGTGTGAGAGCAACCTCTTGATGGTGACCGGAAAAGCACAAACGAGTGGAAGGAATTGCCGAATATTAAAATTGTGTTTTAATCGAAAGTCCTATTAGGTAAACCTACCACCATCGTACTATCTTTCCGCGTGTCTCGCACCGATAGGGTGCAAAGTCACAATGTTGTCTGTTAACATACCCCAGAATCGAAGAATAATGGGATGGAAGTGACAACCAGTATTGATACTGATGGCATTAGTTCGACTGCGTCCTTGGTGGACGTCGCAGAGCAGTGAAGTTCGCTTCGCTCATTTTTGCATGAGTTCATGCTTTAATCCAGAATTCTGATTTTCTGTCTTTTCAATATTTGACACCGCGTACCGATCACTCGCGGATTGGAGTCAGTCTGTTTAATATAGCATGACCGACATAGGAAAACCTTAGGCTTATGCTCCGAACAATTGGAGCAGTTCGCTGAGTTATCAGAGAAACCAATGGGTTTGTGAATACATGTATGCATAATTGCGAACGCGAGTACGTGCAACACTGGCTCAGTGTGCGTGTGTTTGACTACCAAGACATATGACTGGCTAGAAATCTCACAACAGGATTTGACGGAACATTCTATTAGGCACACAAAACACTCGATCGGTGCTGTGTAGTAGGAGACAGAACAATCGTTTTGGGGAGTCCGAATGGGCACTCTCATCAACTTTATTTATTCTAGCGTAGTTTAATAACCGGGGTGTTCTTCGTTTCTGGAACCTCATCGGGCCTTGGAAACTTTAGACATTCTGAAAGCACACCAGAACAGGTGGATCAATGGCGCCCGTAAATATGAGACTACGTTGGAGAAAAGGAATGTGACGTCCTGCATTACGCATAAAAACTAATGCACATGCGTGCCGAGCCAGAAATTCAAGTACAGGCGAGTCGCGTTACGGGCTCACTGGTCATTTGTCTTCCTTTGTCGCCAGCCCTGATTCAGGCCATGCATTCTTGCCATGTCAACATTGAACACCGCCGTCTTTTCTGTCAAGGCTACGGGTCCACTAGAATATATGCGATTCCTTACCCAGTGGACAGACCTGTCATCCGCGATACGTGACCGCCCCATATTCGTGGAACGTATGGCCTGGTTGCGAAAATGGTGGTAGGTTTGTTAACTCCTCTTACTTCGGTTGTTCGTCCCGTCTCCAGATGAACAGGAACCGGTGGAGTGTAGATTCCGTCTGACAACTCGTCTGAAAACATCCTGTGAGGAAATGCAACACCACCTTTCTCAGCTGCCCGGATTAGCGGTACTCTTTGTCTGACGCCATCCGCGAAAAATTGAAAGCATTTCTTATAGTGTTCGATGTTGTCAATGATCGCGTACAGTAGATACGACTCACAATGCTGCCACCAGCTACCTAAGAACTGCGTCCACTGGAACTCAGAATGCACCGCGCAGTTGTCAAGCCAAGCTAAGGGGCCGAGAATGTTACACTCGCCAAACTACAGCACGCCGTCGCCAAGAGACCAGTCCTATCAGGAACGACTGGAATCGCTACTGGATTAACACGGTGACCAATATGGAAATTGTGTCAAATGTCGTGACTGCAAGGCTTCTTCCCCTTCCGCGACAATCCACCGGAGAACGCTTTCCTCTTTACTCCACGGCACACTGCATCTGGTGAAATCTCCACACTGGCTGGCAACTTCATCAATGGACAGGACATTCTGACCAACTTGTTAGCTTCGACTGAAGTGCTTCTATCCTTCTACCTTTTTACAACAGTTGACAGGTTTGCCTCTCATGAAATCAGGTTCTGAAATATTCTGCTTTCTCCTTATAAATCGCTTTGCTAGCAAGATACACTCAGTCACTCGCAAACTAGACCAAACCACGCGGGTTTTCGCGCAGAAAAATGCACCAGTGATCAAATCACTTCTCTAGTCTGAACTCAGAAGCATTATGGAATATATCAACATCCGACGTTATCCCTACAAAGTTACCCAGGCTACTGAGGTCTTACTAGATGGCCATGAGGGCACATGTCCATATATCTAGGGCTAGAAATCGCCAACCTTTGTCTGGTGTTTGACAAGGCTATCCCTTATCTTATGTACTATTCAACTTTGCGGTTGATTAGGTAACACGCCAAGCTGTCGACAGACACTACGCAGTAAAAGTGAAAAGTGCATGGATCACGGAACTTGAGTTCGCGGATAACATGGTTGTCCCCGCTTCAAGTTTTCACGGTCTACAGCGGTTCCTCATAGGATTTCAAATGCGGTTATTCCGTCGACTTTGATATCATTGCCTCAAAAAACCAGGGTTTTTCTCAACAACCAATGAACTCATCATCATCATCATCATCATCATCAACTACAGCATGACATCAGTGTTCAACACGGATGCTTCATTGCTGTACAAAGTTGCTGAAAATCCTTCGACAGCCCACGACCGGTTTCGCCCTGCTTGGGGCTCATGAGGCAGACACAATCCCCGAGTTTCCGTCAACCTAAATTCGACGGCAAATTGCAGCACATTCAGTTGAGGAATATATTGAACGAGGTTCACCCACTAAAAATTAAATAGATATTCAGATTAGAAAATTTGTCTAAATCTGTTCAGTTTGGGTTTAAGCAGGAGAGTAAGTTTATGGGAACTCGGCGACTGTGCCTACCTGATGAGCCCCAAGAAGGGCGAAACCAATAGCAGGCTGTCGAAGTTTTCAGAGAGTGGTTTCCTTTATGAAAAGATTTCGATGGTCGGAAAGCGTGCTTGTTTAGCACCGATCAATGGGAGTAGTGAAGTCTGACGTGAATTGCTTGAGAAAGTAATCCGTTTAAAAATTATCCCCATGCTACAAGTTGTACTCGAGATTCACTTGTCCAATTAAAAGACACAAAGGCACAAGAGGAAACCCTACCGGAAGTCGCTCAGCTATCATTAGGAGAAACAGATGGTAAGATCACAAAATATCAACACAAAGAAGACGGATGTGCATGAAGGACCTGCCTCAACCACCCATCAACGCGAAACGAAAGACCTAGCAGAATTTTCTAGTAAATAACAAAGAATTTCTGGTGCCGTTAGAACAGAGTTTGATTATCTACAGATGAAACCCGGAAGCTGATTCCTTCGTGCTCAACCAATCAGAAAACATCGAATCTGACAGACTAACTGAACGGTAGATATAAACGATACTGAATAAACTGAACGAATCAAGACGCTGTTACGGAAGCCCATAGTCATGAGTAACATTTGCAGCATACACTGATATAACTGTGTTAGCCTCTCTCACCAAATCCGTACAGAATGATCCAGTCACATTTACATGCCCATGTGGTAATGCAAAATATACGGAACGAATCAGCGTCCACAGTGATGCACAATAACCGAATAAGTATGGGGCGCAATCGGGTCAACTGTTTCGGTTGACAAGTTCGAGGAGTCGCTAAGGGAGCATGTGTTGAGGTTATTATCTACAGAGATTGCAAACAAGATCCAAACGAAATTGCTGATATGGTGATAAGCATATCTTGAAATGA